TGGGGGGCGGGGGCGGGGGGGGCGGTCCCAGCCTCTGCCGTCTGAGAGCAGGTCGTTGAGATCTTGCACCGAGAGCTCGAACGAGCCGGACATGGCGGCGGCGGGGCCCTGCACGCCGGGGCAGGAGCGAGCCAGGGGAGAAGCCGGGTCAGCGGGGCGGGGCTGCCCAAAGAAACCGCCCCGTCCCGCCCCGGAGGCGGGCCCGCCGGCTGCGAGAAGCTGCGCAGAGGACTCTCGCGGCCGGCCCACGAGCCGCAGAACCCTGGGGCGTGTCCCTGATCGAGACGTCGTCACTCCCGGGTCGCGGGTCCCCTCTCTCTCACCCTGGCTAAGGCAAGGGAGCGCGGGCACTTCCTTCACTGAACCCCACGCCTGGGGTAACGGGGACCCTTGGGCTTCACCCCCTTCTGGCTTCAAACCAGCAGCGTTGGCATCGGTTCCTTGGCCCCAAACAGACACGTATCAGAAACACGTCTTCCCAACACACACACCTGCTGAACAAATTCCCCACTCCAGGAGATGGATCTTTTACCCAGGGTCACAGGGAAGAGACAGCCCTACGCTGGGACACTTCTTTCGATGTCCATTATGAATCGGCATTGAGTTTTTAAAGCTGGGGCTTTAAGTCGCCAAGTTTGGCCGCTGACCCCGGGGGATTACTTAATCTATTCGCCTGTTTGCTGGCGAATAAAAGGGAGGAGGGGGTTACGGCGTCACAATAATAGTTTGAGCAGCTATAATTTTAGAGATCCGAAGTGTTTACAAATCCGTAACTTTAGAGTGTAAACACAATGCAAGTGGAAAATTCTCATACCTGACCTGTGACGGATGACAGTCAAAACACAGGTGCACTAAAAATTACTGTAGAAAATTACATTCAGGATATTTGTTTATGTGAAGCATTAATGAATTTCATATTTAGATAATCCCTAAATATCTCATTATAAGTATTAAAATATCCTAAAGTCCTGAGCATTGCAGAACAGAATATGCAAGGATTCTAAGGATTATTGGAAAGATTCCAGAAACATTCAAGGGGCTGAGGAGGTTCCTGGACCGTTAAGGTACTTAGCATGCACAAAGCCCTGGTTCAGTTCCTGACACTGAATAAACAGGCATCGCGGTACCAGAAGCACATCACTGAATGTTTTGAGCACTCGCGGGATCTGCGCCCAGGGCTGTGCGCTCTGAGGAGTATCAGGGTAAATTGTCTTCCACGCCCTCCTTTGCAGATCTTCCTGGAGCAGCTGCCATTCCGCTCTAAGCCACTTGGTGTCAGTAGCTGATTCTCTCCTGAGTTTCCACTGAAAGCAAAGGGCTTGGTAGATTACTTTAATCAAAGCTTCTCTCAGCGCAGCCATGGAGAGTGGCAGAGCCCCTAACTCCAAAGCGGTAAATCCAGAGAGTGTCTGGTAAATCCAGAGAGTGGAATCCAGGAATCCACACCTTGAGTCCAACTCTGCCACTTACTAAGGTTTGTTTTCTGTTTTGTTTTGTTTTTCACATTTAGGTTTTCGAGACAGGGTCTCATGTAGCCCAGGCTGGCTTTTAATTTTCTATATAACCAAGGATAACTTTGAGGTTGATCCTCCTGCCTCCACCGCACCTGGTTACATTGGCTCGGCTCTTAAGTGTTTCGTTCCCTAGGAAAGCTTATAGTCCCACGTCTTCAGGAAAACCTTGCAGGAGACTCTGACTTCTTTGCTCATAGCTCGAAGGGCATGAGGGCTGGAATTCCTCCCTCCCTGGGTGCCTGTCTGTGCTAGCCAGGGACCTCCACATAATACATTTCCTTTCTCCTCCAGCCTTGCAACATCAACTTTCCAGGCAGGTAGGGAGCTTCAAAGACTTAGCACAAACCAGAACATCCAGCGCAGAACTGCAAATGCTTGAGGGGAGAGAGAGGCTACTTACCCTGATCCAGTCATAGCACGGGGCATATAAGTTCCGTATTATTCCACACCCCATCAACATAGAGAAATTTTCTCTCAACTTAAAATTAAAATTTTTTACATGCCCAGAGGCAGCTAGACATGCCCTTCTCCTATTCTTCCATTGAGACTTGTTCCTGATGTCATAACTGAGTAACTATGACACCCCTACATAGGGCCAGCTAAGTGCCTCACAGCGGAGTCAAGGTGTCTCATTTCTGAAGTGAGACTAGCAGGAGAAGATGAACAATTCCCTGGATTACTTGGCCTACCCTGTTATCGTCTCTAATCACAGACAAAGCACAACCTTCAGGAAGAAATTGGACTTTGGCCACTACATACTGCACAAGAATAGAGTACAAATAGGTATGTGGGCAGTGGGCAGTGCCTCTTGGAGTTCTAAAAGGATCCACCAAAGAGGCAGTGACTATACTAGTCCTGGCTTTGGAGGGATATGGCCAAAGGCCAAGAGGACATTATGATCAGTGACACAATTTGTTTTCTACTGGAGCATCCGTGTGCTAGAAAGAATCAGTTTTTAAAGTCTGTAGAGCCAGAGTAAAAGAATGTGAGCACAGCACCCAACAGACTAGTAACACTGGGGAGGGATAGAAAAGGTGTCATTTCATTAGATTGAAAGGAAATTTATCTCTATGAATTTTGAGATGGGCTCACATAGCCAAGGTGGGGCAGGAGCTGGCTGAGAGTCAAGAATGAATTTGAACTCCTGGTTGACCTGCTTCCACCTCTGGGAAGCTGGGATTACAGGCCTGCAGGCCACCACTTTGGTTTTAGACAGTGGGCTTGGGTTGAGGGTCGGGGGGAATCAAGCCCAGGGTCCCTGGTGGGCTGAGTGCCTGGCATTCTATTGACTGAACTGCTTCCCTACCCATCCTTATGGAATTTCTAGCCCTCACTACTCATTCATATCAGTCCAAACTCTCCAGAGATGTCAGATGGGAAAATTCACCTAATTGAAGTTGCTAGACCAGATCTCTATTGGAATTCAAAGGTGGAATGTTCAATGGTTGGGGCCGGGTGGCCTGGTGGTTTCTAAAGCTGTTAGGATCCTGTTCTGTAGCAATGTTTTTTTGTCTTCTAGTGAAGCCTGCTGTGGATACCAAACCTCCAATGGCACACACACATCATATTTTAAAATTGAGCAAAATCCAGGTATTTTACTGAATTGTTTGAAGTTTTTGTTCTAAAGAGACTCAATTCCCCAGAGCCTTCTAAATACCCACCAAACTAAGGATCCATTAACACTCTCACCTGATACTCAACCCCAGTTTGTTGAAGCTCTGCTCTGGGGTCCACTAGGGTTCTCGTTGTGCCCCCTTTTTTCTCGAAGTCCCAGAGGAAGGTGATGCAAACCACTGTGGAGGCAGCACAGTGGCGAGATCACCACGGGGGGGTTTCTTCCCAGGGTGAACAAAAGAGAATCAACAAAATTGAATACGAAAATAAACAACTATGTCAGAAAATCGCCAATGCTCATCGCGGCCCTGCCAAGGTGGACTGCTGGAATGAGTATCTTGCGAAAAGGTAGACCTCTCTCTCTCTTTGCATTTCATTCTCTGGAAACTCCCTTCCCTTTGGGTTTGAGGGAGAGAGGATCACTTCAAAGGATGTTATTATGGAGAGAAGCAAGAAGTCATGCTACCGAGATTGACAGCTTCACAAACTGGAACCTTCCCCCTCACCCCCCCCCCCGGTTCAATCCCACCTTTGTTGTCTTTGAAGAGAGCTCCCCTTGCTCTCTCCAGAGCTTGTCCCAAGCACACACTTGGGTATCGTTGCAGAATGCCCATGTGTAGTAGAGGTTCAGATGCAAGACATGAGCAACAGTTTCTTAGTTCTGGAGGCTGGGGAATCCAGAGATAGGAGGCGGCACCAGTGAATTCTGGATTGGCCTTGGTGTGGGACCTGCTTGCTTTCTTCAGAGACAGCTATCTTGACACTGGAACCTTAGGGCAGAAAGGGCAGGAATTGTCTCCCCTAACTTCTAGCATGAGGTTGTTAATCCCATCCCCAAAACCTCACCTCTTAATATATCATGTTGAGTGTTCTAGGTCAGGCATATGGATTTGGGGGTGAGGGGAATCTACAAACATTCAAATTCAGCATCATAACCAAGACGATGCTACAACATTCCAACAAACGGTTCCACAAAAATCCTTGACTAAGTTCTACATGCTAGGTAAGAACTAGATGCTGGGTGTCCCCAGAAATAGATGAAATGGGGAGCATTATTTCCCAACCCCAAACACTTGCAATCTAAGATATAACATTTGAGGAAAAAAAAACATACTAAAGCAGTGTGGTAAAGGTCAAGAAAGTGTACTCCGGGGAATGGCAAATGTGTGTATAGAGGAAGGGAGAAGTCCTATATCTACCAGGAGATCTCAAACAAAACTGAAAGCCAAGGGAAGGAGAGATTGCACCAAAACTTGACTCCAGACATGTATACCTTATCCGCAGGGAGCCTTCCATGCTTATAGACCAAGTTTCCAATCCTGGTTTCACATTATAATCCTTGGGAAATGTTAACAACATGCTGAGGTCGTGAGTGTTTTGTCAGAAACATAGATGAACACATTTGGGACTTTCCACACATCTGGATTTATCAAATAATAATAAATTCACAAGCTCTGAGCTCTTGTTGGCATCAATTTGCCCAATACTGCCACTTCGTTTTTGAAGCACCCTGGCTGAGATAAACAAGGGTTCTTTTATTCCTATCTTAATTACTATGTTAACTCTTAGATTACACATTACATGCCTGTACAGTAAATGTCTCTCTATGTGTCTGTATGTGCGGGTTACAGAATGATGACCAAAGCTGGGAAACTGACAAGGACTAAGTCTCTGTCTTGATGAGATGGCCTAGATGGAGAGGCTGCTGGGGGGTTGGGGAGGAAGAATCAGGTAGCAGGGTCAGGTTGAACTGCAGAGTTGAGTCCAGCATTTGAGGCAAAAGGGTCAGGCCTGGTCTAGTTGAGCAGATATTGGACAGGTGGATTTCAGATACAGATGGGTGAACAGGAAAAACAAATACAACTCAAGTGTCAACAGAGGGAACTGAGCTGTCCTGACACCCCTAGAACAGTCAGCGGTTCTCAGCTTGTCCCTTGGTCCACATATGTGGTCAGATGACAGGGAATTGGGACCATCAGCATCTAAAACAAGTTGTCAACTTCTTTATGGGGTCCAGGTGAGAGCTACACCCTTTCTGCAGTCTGGTTCTTGAGCCTAGTGTTTCTCTTAAGGTTTTAACATAACCTGTGTGCTCCTACAATTGCAATTCACCTGTATAAATGTATAAGATGGGACCCTCTCTACTCCAAAATAAGTAGATTAGCTGTCTGGGATGTGTGGGTGTCACTGGGCAGATAGTGATATTTGAAGAAGAGGCTGTATCCTCCAAATAGTGTCAAAAGCTGCTGGTGAGGTGGAGTCTCTCAGGACAAGGCCCGGGGTGAAAACAACTGTCTTATGCAACGTGGAGTAATTTAGAGTCAGAGCGTAATCTAGCTCCACACCAAGACCTAAGCCCTATCCCATATCAACAAATTAGACTTCCAGCTGGCAGCGAAGCTGAGGACTATTGATGGAAACTGAATGCTTCGTGTATCTTCCAGAGGGCACTGTCTGAGGCTTTCCTCTCCTCTTTCATCCCATCCAGGAGAAATGCTTTCTTCTTCTTCACCCACCCTGGTTTTGTGTTTTTCAGCTTAAACAGAGAAGCAAGGAACCGAGAGCTAGTGAGAATCACCATGGAAAACCAGGGCATTCTAAGGAGATTGGGTGACCGCAAACCCCACTATGAGCGCAGAGCATCGGAGATGGACTGGCAGGCACGTGCTCACTCTTGTCATAGTTCCAGGTGTCCCAGAAGTTAGTCTGTGCTCAGCATAGAGGCTAATCCCCGAGCAGCTAGGTCACTTAAAGAAAATCCTGCAATGCAAGCGTAGCTCACAAATGCAGACTGTGGAACGACCAGAGGCATCCTGGTGGTAAAGCTACCGAGTCAGTTTCAGAAAGCACTGGGCAGCACCACCCCCAAATTCATAGGAAAGGCTGAATGTACAAATGGGGGGGGGGGTGTCAATGTGAGCCTGCATGTGGCTGATCAGCCCCAGTGACTCTTCAAAAGTGGAATAGGGAGAATTGGTCCAGAGGCTGAGGCAGGAGGATGACTCATTTGAGAACAACCTAGACTACCTAGTATTGAGACCCTGCCTCAACAACCAAGCAAGGCGGTAAAGCTCAGGGGAGCCATGAGCAATGTTTTAAAGGCGGCCTCTCCCTGCCTTTCCTAAGCTATCCTTAGGATTTAGAATTTCAACTCTCATACCTTCTCCCCCAGTGCACACATTGACAAGCCTTTCTGGTTGTTTTTTCCTTCAAGAATTCAAGGCGCTATATCAGAAACACAACAAGGTATCTTCTCAACCAAGAGGAATAGGTATGTCATTTTTATGATAGCACATCGCTCTACCAACGGCCAATGAGGCTCAGCTCAGGGGAGGAGCTTTGACTTTCCTGGAAATGGTCATTTTTTTGTCACCAGCTGTGAGGCTTTGTGGGAGTCTAAGGGGAAGTGATCTGTGCCAGGGGAGGGTGAGATGGTTCCTCAGGTGAAGGAGTGAGCCTCATGGCCTGAGTTTGATATCCAGAGCCCCATGTAAAGGTGAAAGGCGACAACCCACTCCACAATGCTGTCCACTGACCCCATGTGTGTGCTGTGGCAAAGAGACCCCCCATGATAATAGTTTTTTAAATGTTTTAAATTAAAAAATTAATAAACCTAGTCTTGAAAGCTAGGTCTAAGGTCCATGACTAGTAAAACACATGGCCATTTGAGCATTTTATTAGATAGGATTAGTGGCTCTGTGTCTTCAAGGAAGGAAGGAAGAAGTGGATGCCCAGGCTCTCCAAAGAACACTGCCACTGTTGATATCCCCTCTTCTCCTCCTTCTCCACCTCTTCCTCCCCTTCCCTCCCTTCCTCCAGACACAAGGTTACTCACCATGGAAAACACAGAGAAGACCCAGCGTTTCTTGGATGCTTATAATCTCAAGATACTCCGGAGTGACCGCATGACCCATCTTTGGGTGTTTTAATAAAGCTTGGCACACAAAACAAGGCAGGCACATGGAAGGACATGACAAGTCTTTTATTTGTATTCTACGCATGCGCCTGTGTATTTGTGTGTGTGTGTGTGTGAGTGTGTGTGTGTGTGTGTGTGTGTGTGTGTGTCCTGCATGTGGAGACCCATTCTGGCAGAGTCTTCTTTGACCACTTGTTTTTGAGACCGAATCTCTCACTGAACCTGGAGCTCCCTGATTGAGCTAGGAGAGGCGGCCACTGAGCTCCAGGGATCTGCCTGTCTCTGTGCCACCCCCACACCCGGCTTTTAAGTGGGTGCTAAAGATCCAAACTTGGGTCCTCAGCTTGTGTTGTAATCACTTTACTGACTGAGTCACTCCTCAAGTCCTAATTTGTATTTATGGGTGGCCTGGAACTTGCTAACTAGCCAAGGGTAATGTTACATTCATGATCCTCCTGCCTTCAGGGATTAAAGGCACGTGCCGCCACCACCTGGTACAGCAAGTGCTCTTAACTGCCTGTCTTCCAGTTCTGTCCATTTTTGCTTCATTGTCATAGATCTTGACACTCTCCCCTTGGGTGCATCCTTCTTTAAGGTGTCTTCTTGGTATATTGATTTATCTTCTTATAATCCCTCTATTTGTCCCCAGCAATTGTTTTTCTCTGCTCTGCTTTATCTGACATTACCATAGCCATTACTGTTTCAAATTCCATGTTCTGCCAACGTCTTTTAGTACTTTTCTTTCTCTACTATTTATTTATTTATTTATTTATTTATTATTTGAGACTGGGTCTCTCTACAGAGCCCTGGCTGTCCTGGAACTCTCTTTGTAGACCAGGATGGCTTCGAACTCACAGAGATCCACCTGCCAATGTCTCCCAAAGTGCTGGGATTAAAGGCATGTGCTATCATCACTGTCACTCCCTACTTCTTAAATGACGCGTGTCGAGGTCAGACCTCACTTCCTCCCTTGTTTGAGACAGGGTATCTTTGTTGTTAGCTGTCATATGCCACCAGACCTAGCCTACCCTTGAACATCTGGGAATTCTCTTGTCTCTGCCTACCAGTGGCTGGAAGTACAGACACAAGCTACCATGCCAACCTTTTTTGGGCTATGGGGATTTGAACTCAGGTCTTCAAATTTGCACAGCAAGTGTGTTAGCTGCTGAGCTGTCTTCTCAGGCCCTCCTCCCTCCTTTTTAAAATACAAAAGTGGTTCCTGCACAAATATTGAGCACCACATATGATGGGGGTTACCTTTGTTTTGTCCAGCCAGTTCCGGTAAAGAAGCTTTAAAGGTGTTAGCCTGTTCTAGTTCCTTCTATGTTGCTGACTCATCTCTTGTGGAAGTTTCCACCCCTTCCTCGGTTCATTTCTTTGTTTAGAGCTGCCTTCGGGACAGGTCTCCACAGTTTTGTTTCCCTCTGAGAACTGTGTCCATCTCCCCTATTCCTAAGATAGACTCACGGAACGCAGACTTCAACATTAATAGCTCTTTGTTCTCGGATTGTGACGTTTTTGCCACTCCTTCCCAATGCAAAAATAGAACTTGAATTCCTTTCCTGCCTGGCTATTTTTTGCTGTTCTTAAGGTTGGTATTCTTCCCCCTTAATCTTCAGTCTCTAGGAGATTAAATAGGCTGTGTAAGGGTTTCTAACTCAAACTTGAAATTTGATTTGATCTACTTCTTGAACTGTAGGCTGGCTTTCTCCAGATTGGGAGTGGGGGTGTTGGCTCAGCCACCATTCCTCTGAATCTTACTGCCTTACCTTTGTCATCTCCTGCTAGGACTTTAATACTATAAATATCATATTTTTTAGTTAATCCAAGTTTTAATTTTGATTTGTATGTTTTGCTTCCATAACTTAAAAAAATGTGATGTGTGTGTGTGTGTGTGTCCATGTGTCTGTGTACAATTTGGGGACATGTACCATGGCATAAGTGTGGGGGTCAGAGGATTTAGTGGCATCCACCCTTGCCTTTGTGTTAGTGGCCACACCCCTTTGGGCATGGCTACAGGTACAGATCTAAATTGAGAATTCTCAACAGAGGACTCTCAAATGACTCTAAGAAACACTTAAATGGTCAACATCCTTAGTAATCAGGGAAACACAATCAAAATGACTTTGAGGTTCCATCTTAAACCTGTTAGAATGGCTAAGATCAAAAACACAAGTGAAAGCTCATGCTGGCAAGGCTAGATGCCACAAGAGGACGGAATTTTGGAGTCGGCTTCTCTCCTAACCTGCGTTCCAAGGATAAGTCTCAGGGGAACTAATTATTGATGTCATTGTGTGCACTGTTGGCACAACTGTGTCACCACATTGCCAGAGCCCCCAAGTCTCTTCCCAGGCAGCTTTTACTGTACTCAAACTCCCTGTATGGAAGGTGTTTAACTGTATTTAGAGGAGGAAGAAACAGTGAAAATGATTCCATACCACCTTGTCCTAAAACCACTGGCCTAACTAAAGGAATTGATGGTTACAGAATATATTCAAAGGGCAGAGAAATGGAGGAAGAAATGGATCGACTCACCAAACAAATGCAGTTGACTGGTTCTTAACTGTTTGATCCTGAAATGGACTTTATATGTATGCTGAAATTTATAATTGTTAAATATATCAAGAGCTGACATTGTTATGCCTGTAATCCCAGTACTTGGGAGGCAGAGGCAGGAGGACCATGAATTCAAAGCCAGTTTGGATGAGGCCAGCCTCGTGGGATCTGTCTTTAAAAAGCAAACCAGGAGCTGGAGAGATGACTCAGTAGTCAAGAGCACTGGCTTCTCTTCCAGGGACCTAGATCCAGTTCCCAGCACCCACATGGCACACAGACATATGTGAAAGCAAAAGAACCCCACACACACACACACACACAGTCCACATACAAAGCAAACAAAATATCCTCTCACTGCCTTGGGTGCCTGGTCCTGTGACTGGTGGCAGGTGTGTCACTGGATAAGTATGTGCACGGTTCAACTGTCCACATGCTGTAAAGCCCTGGGGATATACATAATATCAAAAGCACTACTGTCTGAGAAACACGTCTGAGCTGTGATTGACAGGGGCTTAAAACCTCAAATATCTCTTTTGCAAGGAATGGGCTGGGAGTCAGGGAAGACTACTCACCACTGGATCAAGGACAGCATGCACCGATACCAAAAACTGTGTTGAAAGAGCCAAAAGCAGATGAGCTCTGTAATGGAGTGATGTCTGCCATGGGGGCAGGTCGGGCAGTGGCAACACATACAGGATCCATTTAATGTTCTTGACCTTGAAAAGTCCTCTAGAGATCACATTCTTTTTGCTTATAGACACAGACCAAAGACTTCACTGTTTAATGCCCAAGGAATAAAACGGTGTTTCTTGGGAGGCATAGAGCTGAACTGGTGTACAGGCCAGGGGTGAGAAACTTTTGCTAATCTTTTTGCTGGGGGCTCAGAACACACATACTGTGGGTTGGATTGGGCTTGGATTTGCATTTATACACACTCCACCAATACATATTTGCAAACTGGTACATTTATTTTTTGGAATAACATTCTCTGCTTTGTATAAACAGCAAAAGCATGCCTTCCAGATGACACCTGTCCCCTATCCTCTCTACTCCTGTGGATCTCACAGCAGACAAACAGCTGAGAACATAACTTGTCCTGGGAGAAGGGAAGGTACTTTAATTGCTAATAAACCAAGTCCATTTTCATACCTTACCTCATAATCTACACTGAGTTACTACCACCTCATCTGAGAAATGGCTAAAAGTATGAGTAAGCAGAAAATGACTCTTAGTATGGCACACATACTTTAAAAAGTCACCCAGTGCCCAACACCGGAGGGCAAATCACCCACGTCAGACTTTCTGTAACCAGATAAGGTCTCCATCGTGCTGCAGATGTGAGACAGCCAGGAATGAGCTCTTCCTAAACCGTCATCTGCCTGGGAGTGAACTCAAGATCCCCGCTTTCCATCCCCCTTCTCGAGGCAACTGCCTCCCCCCACCCTGGAATTCTGTGAAATTGTTAAGTACTGGCTAAAAATTGAGAAAGGAGGACCCACCCTTTTGCTAGAAAGTCCTACAAATGAGATTGATCACTTACCTGGTGGTAAGCCAAAGAGTTCCAAGAGTTCTTGTGCAAGAAAGTTAGCTGGAATTTTGTAGATGGGAAGCAAATGGTATCTTGCACATATATAAACTGCATCCTTGGGCTGGAGAGATGGCTCAGAGGTTAAGAGCACTGGCTGCTCTTCCAGAGGTCCTGAGTTCAATTCCCAGCAGCCACATGGTGGCTCACAACCATCCGTTATGAGATCTGGTACCCTCTTCTGGTGTGCAGATACACATGGAAGCAGAGTGTTGTATACATAATAAATAAATAAAATCTTTAAAAAAAAAACTGCATCCTTTCAGTCCTAGAAGTTGTAAACATACTGCACACTATTTTGGTCATGAGGCAATATAGCATAGTGGTTAAGGATCATATCTTCTGTGAGAAATTTTGAGGCTCGAATATACACAGCTGTACCATTATGCATGTGCAGGTATGTGTGTAAGTGCACAATGTGTGTGAGTTCATAGGTGTGTAAGTGCAGACTAGCCAGTTCAAAAGTTTCCAGAGATTCTTTGTTTCTACTTCCCATCTCCTGACTGAAGTTCTGGGGTTACAAATACGCACTACAAATGAGGCTTGTATGTGGGTTCTAGGGATTTGAACTCAAGTCCCACCTCCTCAGCCTTGTGCTGTTTTGGTTTTTGGTCCCCCCACCCCCGCCTGTGGCTGTGTAAACTTCCATACATGATTTAAAGTTTCTAAGTCTCCTTTCTTTCCAAAATTGTAGAATGGGAATGGTAACATTGTTACACCATCATCTTGGTGTATTTACAAAGACAATGCGAAAGATGCCTCAGCCTTGCAGCTAACACGGGACTGGTGGCTCATCAGAAGTAAAATTCCCCCAACATCTCTGACCTGTCACAGTCCCTTGAGAAATGACTGCTGCTTCGAGACAACACGACAGACCCACACTTTGAGTCTATACACTTTGGACAGGGCTGATTTATTGTGGCTTAGACACAGCTTTGACAGATGGGAGTCACCTGATTCCCCACAATATAGCACAACAGGAGCCCAATCTGAAAATAGAGACAGCCTAGTACCAAGGCATAATGACGGACAGCTGACATTATAGGACAAATCAAACACAGCAAGGACTCACTTTCAGGAGCATGGGGGTGTTCGGAAAGGGGACAGGCAGCCTGACATTCCTCAAGAGTCCCCAAAGGCACTGCTTCATTGTAGAATAGTCTAGTGAGCCATGTGGACTGTTCAGTGTGCCTCTCTGTCTTGCAGGAAAAACATCATGTATGTGCACTATGTAAAAAGTCAGGGGACCAGTTTCTCTACCACCAGGCAAGCACTACCAAAAAGAAGTTAAAAGGTAATATCTCAGTGCTGCAAGACAGGTCTTCATTTGCACAGAAGATCCCCTTGGGGAAAACAATTTCCAACAAAGCTGGACCAGTGAAGTGTTATATTTATAAAGCTGAAACGTCACTGTAAATCACTATATAAATTCACCACCATCACCCCCAAAAGACAGTGGCTACATAGCTTTGGTACAAAAAATCAAGGCCAACTTGCCTTCGAGACTTTAATGAATGACATGTTACTCTGTGAACTGCCCCTTTCAATTCAACTCGTGAAGGGGTGCAGTGCAAAAAGACAGACAAAAATCCAACGCCAAGCAAAGCTTCCCACCAGTACTGGGCGATGACAGCTTGTGGGAAATCCTGCTCCACTCTGCACTTGCGATTCATTGACAATACATGAGGGAAGCTGGGCAATAAGGTCTTTGAGGTCCCTCCAGACTGGATGCTATACGATGCAGTTACCTCACCCAACCGATGGGTACCCAGTAAGTGTCCTTGCTTAACTTCTCTATGACAGCTCTGAGCTGGCTGCAGGCACTCTGCAGGTCCTCCCTCACGAGCACGGTGTCCATCAGGTGTCCGTAGTGCTGATCAATGAAGGTGGCAGAGGCGACCATTTCTTGCTGCTGCTCATCCTGCAAGGAAAGAGACAGTATAGGGTCTGGGGGGATGCTCTCCTGGCAGAACCTGCCTTTATTTAATGTGCCGAATGGATGCCTGTGTCCTGTAGATAACCTTAACTGTGAGCATGAGAGTAGAGAGTAGTAACAGCATAGTACAGAGAAGGAAACCCATGGACAGCAGACACAATCATACACTCCCAAAATATTCCCCAAGGACCTCTGAACTGAGAACCATTGTTTCAGGGTGCCTGGTTATATCTGTGTATAAAAGCCAGCGTCACCGGGTGTGAAGCTAGATGTGGTGGTACACACCAGTAATCCCAGCACTCAGAAGGCTAGAGGATCATGAGTTCCAATCCAGCCTGGGCTACAAAGCAAGACCCTGTCTCCAAAAAATAGAAGTCTATTGACTAGTGGCAGAGCACCTGCCTAATGTATGTGAGGCCGGGGATTGATCCTTAATATCGCACACACAAAATAGAGGGGCTGAAAAGATGGCTCATTAGGTAAAGTGTCTGCCATGCAAGGATGAGGACCAAAGTTCATATCCCAGGCACCCATGTAAAAGCTGGGTGGGCATGCATCTATAACCCCAACACTAGGGCAGAGTAGGGTAAGGCAGAGATAGGTGAATCCCAGGGGCTTGCTGGCCAGACCAATCTAAGCAAAACAGCAAGCCCCAGTTTCAGTGAGAGACCCTGCCTCAAAAATAAGGTGAAGTGAGAGAGGAAGATACCCGTCTGCAACCTCTGGCCTCTACACACCACCGCCCCCCCCCACACACACACATACTTCTAAGCATTCTCTGTGTTGATTTTTTCATTCATAAAGAGCCACTGACTCTTTGTTTTACAGCAGGGCCAAATTGGCGGGATAGAGAAGGAAGAATGACTTAAGAGAACCTTGGGACAACTGTATTTTGTGATACTTTGATTATAGTCTGACAATAAAGCTTGCCTGGAGTCAGAGGGTGGAGGCAGCGACTAACTGACCAAAATTAACCATAGAGGTCTTGAAGGACTGAGGACAGACAGGAGACAGGAAGCAGTAAGGCAGGGCTTAGAGGGGATCTCAGCCTTTCGGATGGAGGAACGGGAGAGCAGGTCACTGGTGGCTGCTCCCCTGCTTCTCTGATCTTTTGGGTTCTTACCCTGATATCTGACTCCTGATTTTTTTTATTGATAAAGAATGATTAGATTAAGGCTTCACAACAGCACCTCGCTTCTTTTCCAACACCTAGCATTAAGAGCTACACAAAAACTCTGCCTTACCCAACCTGGTGATGCTTCATGCAGAGTCCCTAGGAACTGGAATTTCAGTTGTGTAACGTGGACAACAAACCTGGTTTGTGGGGAAAGTGGCAGATCCACTCAAGAAAATACAACATGAAATCTGTAGTTGGCTTTCACCCATGTCCCTTTCTGTCCCTCTGTTGCCTTCCCTGCTTCTAGGGACCTGTTTTCACACCGCCATATGGGAAGGTGGAATTCTGACCTCCCCTGTGGAGACCTACTTACAAAATATTCTTTCTGCCTCTGTCATCAATTCCTTCTTTTCTGTGGCATCAGTAATTTCAGGGATGAGTGACAAAGGCCCAGACTTTTTTTTTTTCTTTTCTTTTTTCTTTCTTTCTTTTTTTTTTTTAATGATGGAAACCTAAGAAAGTACTAAGCTCATTTCTTCTTTTATCTGTCCAGAGGGAAAAAGCTAAATTCTCCCGGGAGGTGTTCTGCAATCCTATCTTCTCTCTCTCAGGGCTACTTGAATACTCAGAAGCTCTCTGCAGTGTCTCCACACAATCCCTGGAACTTCAGTCCTACCTTACCCACTGTTGCAAGCAAGCATGCTCATACACACACACACACACACTCATAGAGTAAAACAAACGAAAGACAGGGTGACAACTCCTGAAGAAAGACACCTAAAGCTGACCTCTGACCTCCATAGTTGCCCATGTGTACATGCACACACACACCCTACACACATAACCTGTACATACATACTCCATACACACATTCAACGCTTGGCTTTGACTCAGAAATTCAACAGCCAACTGTGGTCTATCACGCTTACATAGAGCCCCTGACAACTCTCAGTTCCCTTTTAGGGGAAGATGCTGACATGAGCTTGTGAGTCCAGGCAGACACCCTGCCCGGATTGGAAGGCATGGTTCCTACCCCTCTTGAACCTTCTGGTTATGTGACCATCTTTTGTTAGCCTTATAAAATGGAAAGACAGCCTTGTGCAGGAGCTATGCTCTCTGTCCCTCTCCCTCAGAGTGGCCATAGTCAGCTAGGTGCAGCCCCTCCCTTCAAAGAAAAAACAATCAACTTTAAACTTACAAGCGAAGCTGCTGGGTCCTCAGAGTCTGGGGATACAGGCGGCGTCTTCCTCTTCTCCTGAATTGCAGGCTTCACAAATATAACATAGGGCTTAAACTCAGAAGTCCTCAGGTGTCTTAGTGCCTAGAACAAAATTCCAGAAAATTATACGCTTTTTGAAACACATACATTCCTAAAGCTCAGTCCTCCTGGGCTTCTGTCCTCAATGGCAATGGCCCTAGTGGTCAGTCCTTACACGATGGACTTCTACTGGGCAGACTCGCCACATTCTCTCATCCTCCACTTTGACACTGAACTCCTCTGGGCCAGACAGACAACATGAGGAGCACTGAGAAGCCAGAGACTCAGCTCAGCCCCTCCAACTCAATTAACCTCCTTGGGCTCTTTTGATTCTGCCAAGGGCTCAGCGTACATACATTTTAGTCATCTACCATTGCCCTGCTTACACTGTGTAGCCACTCCACAGGCCACCTTCTGATATTCAAAGAAGCAAAGGTTTGCAAAGTAAATGAAGTGATGACCTGTGGGGGTCACTTGAACCAAGGACAGATTTTTGCTTTCCCACATGCAAATCATACTGCCAACAAGAGTGTGCCTCCTGAACGGGGTAAAGGCCTCTACTTGTAAACACTGGTATTGAATTTCTATGCACTATCTGCATACACACACACACACACACACACACACACACACACACACACACCATGTTTTAAAAAAATATTTGAGAGGCTGGGCATGGTGGAGCATTTAATCCTAGCATTCAGGAGGCAGAGACAGGGGGATGTTTGAGTTCTGGACCAGCCTGGTCTACAACGCCAGGACAGCCAGGGCTGTGCAGAGTTTCCCTGTATATAGAGAAACCCTGTACATCTTGGAGGAGCTGGAGAGATAACTCAGCACTTAAAAGCACTGACTGGTCTGCTCTTCCAGAGGACCTAGTTTCGATTCCAGTACCCACATGGTGGCTCACAACTGTCTGTAACTCCAGTTCCAAGGGATTCAATGCCCTCTTCTGACCTCCTCAGGCACTGCATACAAGTAGCACACACACACATATAGGCAGGCAAAACACTCATCCACATAAAAATAAAATAAAGATTTAAAACAAATCTTTGACATTCGTATTTTCATAGTTTTAAAAAGATTCATTTCCTTTTCATGTGGATGAATGTTTCGTCTGCATGTGCCTGGCGCCCTTGGAGGCCTGAAGATGGGGTTGGATCTCCTAGACTTGGAGTTACAGTTTGTGAGCTACCATATAGTGCTGAGAAGTGAACCTGTGTCCTCTGTAAAAGCATGCATACTCACACCTGCATATGAGTACAGGTACCCCAGGAGGTCCAAGGAGAGTGATGGATCCCTCGGAGCTGGAATGACAGGCAGCTATGAGCCACCCAGTGTGAAAGCCGGGAACTGGGCTCTGGCCTTCTGCAAAAGCAGTGTGTGCTCTTAGCTGCTGAGCCTCTAGACATTGATATTCAACTACCAACTCACGGGGAGGACAAATAAGAGAGGCGTTCCCTCCTGGGCAAAATGTGCTTTTGGAAAACATGTTTCAAGCTGACGCAGGTAAAATAAAGCTCACAGTTTATACCATAACATCAAAACTCTGCTCCTGTAGTAGGAAGAAAATGAGTTCAAAGTGAGGGAGTTTTTCTGAAAGACAAGGTTAAGAAGATGCCAGATGCCTGCAGAGCCTGAAGATCTCCAGCTGTGGAGAAAGGAAACAGGCTTTGAAGCTCTGCTAAGGTCAGGCTGCTCCCCAACCTGTCCCTCGGGGCCTCCTCTTCACTACATATACTTGTTCCAGTTGCAGAGGCAGGAGACTGACAAGGAAGGAGAGTAGCAACAATGTGGCCTGGGTATACATACTAATGATTTTCTGTCCTGTTACAATTGGCCAAATAAAGCCAGGGACTTAAACTATTGTGTGTTTGTTTGTGTGTGTGTGTGTGTGTGTGTGTGTGTGTGTGTGTGTGTGTGTGTGTGCGCGCGCACGCGCGCGGACACAGGTACACCTATGTGTGGTATGTACATATGTGTGTGCAATGCCAGGAGTGTCCAGAGAGGGCATCAGATCCCCCTGGAACTGGAGTTGCAGGTTGTTGTGAGCCACTTGACATGGGTTCTAGGAACTGAACTTGGGTCCTCTGGAAAATCAGCAAGCACTTTGAGCCTCTATAACCTACCCCACTCTTTTTTTAGACAGGTACTATGTAGCCCAGGCTGACCTCAAAATCACAATCATCTTGCCTCAGCTTCCCCAGGAGTGGGGACTACAGGCATGTGCCACCATGCCACCATGGCTTGCCAATCTATTGCATGATTTGCTCCATGTAAGGGTTACTGTCCTGGATATCGGGCTACTCAGAGGGTCCCTGGACCCCCTCAAATGAATCAAGGACTTGAGAATAGCAGGACATGCTTGGGGCTGTAAAGATTTCATCCAATTCTCAAGAAGAGGACCCAGCATTCTTAACACCAGTGCTCTGAGTTAAAGCTTCCTTAGACTGATCTCCATGTTCTATAGAATGGACAGCCGCCCTGGGTTAGAAGTTTCATAAACTCAGCATGCCCGATGGCTCAGGAACTCACTTCCGGTTCTACATCCACCAAGCAAACTTTGTTTTTGGCCATAACAGCCTGAATGGCCTCCAGGCTGGTCCCATAGAGATTCTCCTTATATTCACCATGCTCCAGGAACCTAAAACATCATCAAAGGGGAAGACTTAAGTTTCTGAGCAACCCCATCTTCACACACACACACACACACACACACACACACAGAGAGAGAGAGAGAGGGGGGGGAGGGAAGGAGGAAGAGTGGGTTTTCCAATATGATATCTCTCTCACTTCCTGCTTCCCTTACCCTTCCAAAAGCCCATCCACAGGGTCAAATATTGATACAAAATTGGACTGGACAGTCACAGAGACACACAATTACCAGAGGGCACAATGGCTCATGAAGCAACAAACGCACTTGTTGTGATGTAAGTCAGCCTCAAATGCTTGCTTGGAGACGAAGTGATACTCCACCCCTTCTTTCTCATGGCTCTTCCGGGGCCTGGTGGTATCTTTTAAAGAAAGAAGAATTGCTGGGCCAAGAAGAACAGCAAGCCTGTGCTCTGGCCTCAGAGCTCATCACAGATCTCAGTACCAATCAGCCACTTCCATTCATCAAGTGTCCTCACATGGTACAAGCTCTGATACAGGCAAAAGAAGCTCCCCTCCTTTTTAAGACAGGGTCTCATGTATCCCAATCTGGCCTCAAACTCACTGTGTAGCTGGGGATGACCTGAACTTCTGCTCCTCCCGCCTCCACCTTCCAAGTGCTGAAGTTACAAGTGTGCGCCATCACTCACAGGTGATGTGCTGGGGACTGGAACCAGGGCTTCAGGCATGCTAGACAAGCCCTCTACCAACTGAGCCTCATCTCAGACCCCGAAGAATATTATCCTGTAGCAGGAGAACCCAGGGCCCAGAGACGGCACCATGCCAGTCAGAGCCAGGAACCTCATGGTTCTGTGCCAAGCTCAGGCTCCTGCTACTCTGCTAGGCTCTCTTCTTGGTGCCAGAACTTTTAAATAACCTCTGAAAAGTCCTTAATTCAACATCTTCGTTTAGATTTTCTCATCTGAGAGCAAATGGGCACAAATACATTTGACCCTGCTTTAAGCTCTGTGTGTGTGAGAGAGAGAGAGGGCATGCAAGCTTATGTACCTGCATGTGTGGAGGACAGAGGTCAACCTCAGATGTCATTCTACAGATGATGTGACTTTTGGAGACAGGGTCTCAGGAACTCACCAGTTCAGCTGACCAGTGGGCACCAGGGATGTGCCTGTTGCCACCCCTGCCCCAGCATGTGGATTATCAGTAAAGGTCACCACACCTACTTTTTATATGAACTCTGGGAACCAATTTTAGGTGCTCACGCTTTCTGGTCAAGCACTCTCCCAGTTGAGCCATGCCCCAGGCCTGGGCTGTCCATTCCTTATGCAGTTCTCATTATGAGAGAGAAAAGGAGACACCGGACAGGCAGCCCCTGTACCACCCGCACGGCTTTCCCTGGCACCAGCTCTTGGACATGCTTCTTAAATGCAGCGTCCTTACTGATGTCCATGATGGAACTCCGTCTGGGCCAATCAAGTCTTCACAGAATGAGAGGAGATATGAGGGGCAACTCGGAGCTTTCCCCAGAAGACACAGAAATTTGGAAGACAGAGTAATCCAGCCTTGAAGCCACCCCTAGGATGCCCTGTTTCCCTGTGGCATCGGGCCAATCCCCCAAAATCATGCTAAGGTCCCTTTCCCATGTCACTGTCTTTCTTCAGACTTTTTCCTGCTGGTTTGATGTTAAACATCTTCAGGAGCCCAGGAGTCCCTCATGACCTGCCCAACCTTCAATGGAGCTTCATCTCCTGCCTTGCCATCTATAATACTGTTCCCAGTCTTTAGCATAGCCACCCTGGGTCACACTGCCATTGTGACCATTCGAACATGTTGCTCCCTCTGTATAGCAAACGCTTCCTTTCTTCTCTTCCTGGAAGACTTCTATTTACACTTCAATGTTCAACATAAAAGTCACCACCTCTGGGAAGTCTTCCCTGACTTCACCTTGCTGTGGGTGCCTGGAAACAGGCAGGCATGAATTCTGAGTACAGGCTTCTCAGCGACAGAAGTGTGTGTGAGGGAGAGCAAATCCTGTCACACTGCTTCATCCACCTGAGACCTAAAGGGTGGGACCTCCAAAAGTCCTCAAAGCTGTGCTTTCAGAGTGGCCTCCACAGCCCCACCCCCTCCCCAAGTCTCTTCCACTTTGGACAAGGTCCTAGAAAATGATTCCAATGGCCATGGGCTAGGCTTTTGGCCTGGGATCAGGAAGAGCAATGTGTCCTAAGAAAGTCTCTGTAGCTGCACTTCCCCAGAACATTCTGGAAAAGATCATTCCTGTCCCACAGCACCCCCCCTCCAAGACCGCCAGACATCGACACTGCATCCCTTCAGGGCCAGAGGGTAAGAGAATGAGGAAAGACACATACCGAGAGAGATGGGATATGGGGGACCATGGTAAGTGGCCATGTTGCCACTTAGGAATGACCTAGGATCATCTGCTTAGGCTCCAAGCCTAGTTCTACCCTCTTTCCTGCTGTGTGATGCTGGGCTAGTTACTTAACCTCTCTGAGCCTTGAGAGGCCTTTGTCCTCAGTATGGTATTACAGTACCTCTTCTCTGGGGGGTACTAGTAGGGACAGCCAAGTTTCTACATGTAAGGGCTCTCATTCTCCTCCTCCACACCTACTGGGTCTTGGCATCCCACTGTCTTGGGGATTAGAACCATTGATAATACCCAGGAGTGTGCCCAGCCACCGAGCCAAGCTACCATCCAGCTACAGTAATACCTCCCCCCTCAGCGGAGTACTTGGCAGTACCTCCCACCTCACCGAGTATGTGGCTTTGTGACCACTGTGTTTTGGACTCACTGCCCTCCCCAGCAAGACACTCAGCAGGGGGTGTTCTTGCTGTCTCTGAAACTGAGACTCTCATCATTCCTAGGTCCCATCATATGCATACACCATACATACAATGTCTGGTGGACTCTCACACCCAAAGTACCAAAAAAGTTAAGATGCGCATGAAGAATACAGTCCCTGGAAAACACTCACAGGCATACACACACACACACACACACGAACAGCAACACCAAAGTGCTGGGGGTCCTCGGCCACCACCCTTTGCTTCAGTTCATGGAGTTGGGCTCCCAGAGACCCTGGAACAAAGGGAAGGTTGAGTCCATCCCTAAAGAACTCCTTCCCCACCACTCCTGAGGAAGCCAGCCCACCTGGAAACTCAGGATGTCACCTACCAATCAGAACCACCAGACGGGGCCGCTCCCCAGGCTGCTGTTGGTACCTGGCCACCTCCTCGTAGGTCAGAAGCTCCTGAGACTCAGCTCCTGCAGGCACCTTTGCCTCCTGTGAGCCACCCAGCCTCTCCCTGCAGCCTAGCCGGAAGCTTCTCCGAAGACCAGCTTGGGGAAGGGCAAAAGGACAAGGTGGGGGGGGGGGCGTTGGTTCTGGGATTCCACCAATAACGACCTTCTCCAGGGAGCTCGCATGGAGGTAGGGCTGGATGCCTGGCTGCCCAGACTCCTGCCCTGAATGGTCAGTGCAGGAAGTATGCTGATATGAAGAAAGGGTGGCCCCTACATCCAAGACTGAGGCTCAAGGTCACTGTTTTCCTTGGCACGTGACTGACCTGAGGTTAACAAGTCTCTTGATCTCTCTGAGCCTCAATATCCTTCTCTGTAAAATGGGAACTTGGATGTACAAAGGCAGTGGGTGGTTGCAGATTGGATCCCAGACCAGAGGAAATGAAGGACATTATTGGGACAACTGGTGACATTTTAATAACTGTGTATAAGACAATAGAATTGTATGCAAAGGAAATGTCCAAGATTTGATCACTACCCTGAAGTCATGTTACAGGATGTCCTTGTCCTTAGGAAATACCGACAGAGGTGCCTAGGGGTAAAGGGACAGGATGTGTACATTAACTCTCATGTGACAGGAGACAGAAAAGGAAATAAGAAAAACACTGGAGAGGTGACAATCCTCAGGTCTGGTGTGCAGCGCCCAGGAGTTCTCTGTCTAAGTCTGTGAGTTTGAAATCACATTGAAATAAACACTGGGAGACATTTGCCTGTCTTCTGTGACCTTTGAGGGAGAAACACTAGGGAAAACAAAAATCCCATCACTGTGTGTGGTGGTGAGGTTCACACTGAATAAACTCCCATTACAACAATGAAGATAAAATTAGTGTCAACACAGGGTTCTATGTCTCTACAGCTCCGCAGCTGGGCGGGACCAGGGTGGGCCTTCGTGGACACCACCTTCTGCTGGCTGACTCTTTGCAATGAGATGAGGGTCCCCCAGGTTCAGCAGCCCTTGACAGGTTCCTGGGGCTGGGATCTCAGGTTCTGAAGCCTGGGCCTGTGCATGAGTGGGAGGGGTGCCAGGGGAGAGCCTGCTACTCACCCACATAGTGTCCTTTGAGGGACGCTTCACAATCACACGTCTCTGGAAACCAAACAGAGAGAGGGGTGAGTCACACTGGACACATCCTCAAGGCCACAGGGACCCAGCCCCTAGGTAGCCAGGCAGAGCCCTCTGGGATGGTGATCCAGGGAAGCTCTAGAGAAGTCTATCTCTTGGTGGCCCTGGGACCAGATCTTCTGCTTCTGCTCTGTTCTCCATGCGTAACAGGCCCCAATAACTTTTCCAGCCCTTGGTGGGGATTCTGGGCCAGGAAGCCCCCTCCCAGTCTGTGAGCTCCAGATGGGACACAGGAATAAGATGGGAGACCTCACCCAGATGCCTTCTTGTTTCTTGGTCTCTTAGCTAGCACTGGGGTCACAGCATCATCCTTTAATGCTAGACACATGGGGAGGGGTCCTAAGGCTTTGAAGCCTGTTCCCACCCAACACATCTGGGCACAGGCACCCAGGTGTGAGGAGGAAAACCAGCCCCCTCAGCCCCAGGTGCGCCACAGAAGAGGGGCCTCACTCGTGTGCACGGGGTGGGGGACAAACACACCAGGCCTACCTTTGTCACAAGGCTGATCATCTGCAGTTTGCATAAAAGACAGATGGGACAGCGTTAGTGCAGGGAACCAGGAAGCCCTGCGGCTGAGAGGCAGCTACAGCCTCGGCAGCCTGAGGAGATCTCCATCTGTCCCCTTTCCTTGCTCCAACAAGCCTATGCGGTGCGTTATTAAACCCCAGCCCTGCTAATGAGTCTTCTTGTGTGTGGCCAATTAGCAGCCAGAGAAAGCTACTGCATGGTCAGTAGAAGTAGCCCCCTGGCTGACTACTCAGCAGCCTCCTCACCTGCCTGGAAACACAGTCATCGCCAATGGCTGCTGGAGTGACTCCTTCTGAGGTCCCACAGTGGGAAAAGACCCTGCCCCTGCTTTTCTGGAGTTTAAGACCTGCTTGGAAAATGCAGGTACCTGAACAGGCCCCTCCCTCAGTTAGGAGTAACCAGCAATAGAGGGTAGATTTTGGGAGAACCCCTCTCTATGAGGGACTTTCTGAGACCTGCACATAAGACCTCTAAAACCCCACACAGAACCTTCTGAGCCTCCATGTTTCCATTTGGGGGGTGAGGCTGCCATCCCACCCCCTTCACAGGGCCACTGTAACCAAAGGCAAGGGAGAGCGAATGGCTCAGTGGCAGAGCACCTGCCTTGTGTGTCTGAGGCCCTGGGATTGGTCCTGGCACTACCAAACAATTTTTTAAAAAAAATTCAAAATTGCAAGATGGTAGGCAAAGCTGTTTTCAAGGTAAGGTACACAGAGAATATCCAATAAACACTGCCCAACAAGCTAAAGGGAATTTCTTAACATGCTTCTACAGGATGCACTAGGAAGCACTTTGTGTGTATCTCAAATTCAAATCTAATGAGCGTTTTCTGTTTGAGCCTCCCAACGCTCTCACAGAGGCGAAAGGACACTTAGCAAGGGTATCCAGCCTCTTGGCTTCTTGGAGTCACACTGTCCTGGACCATATGGGATAGTCCACCCATGGCCCAGGGTATGGGGGAGGGTGCATGCATTGGAGTGATGTTGAGACAAAATGTTATCTAAGAGTTCACACACATTTGAGGTTTTTTTTTTTTTAAGTCACAAAAACATAAAAGTTTAAGCACTTTTACAATTGGGGTACATTCATAGCTATCCCAGAGTGCATAAGGCCATGCATGGACACCCCGGATTCCCATTCCATATCAGCAAATTTAATGTTCAAGTTCAAAGTGTTCCTTAGGAAGCTAAGGAGAGCTTGGAACTCTTCCAAACACAGACACCCACAGAGACTTGCACACCAATTTGGAATGGTATTAACATGCCCCCCCCCCGTGGTATCCATGGACCCCAATATAGAAGTTCCTCTCTAGGACGGTTGCCCTCCCCTCCCCATGCTTCTCCCCACCATCTCCTTCCTCTGGAGGTCTGCAGGCTCAGACAGGGCCTCGACACCCCTCCCTCTAACGCAGGATCAGCTCCTTCTGCCCCTCCTGCACCCCACATCTGTCATTCTACTCACAGGGGGGCCTTTTGAAGCTCTGGGGGCTTGGCAGGGTACCAGTTGTTCTCCGGTAGCTCAGCCGCCTGCAGGGACACAAGTGGACATCATCATCTAGGTCAGAGAACTAGCTGAAGGGAGCCTTCTAGAAACTTGGGGAAACTGAGGCCTGAATCCCACGGCTGGGCACACCTGGGCACGCCAAGGACCTCCTGCTTCACAGTGAGTTCTGGCTAGGGAAAGGGGACATTTTCATGGAGCTGACTGGTTTATAACAAGGAAAAAACTGAGTCTCCTGGCCCCCAAAACCCTTGTCCTTCCCAAGACAGCTTCATGAAGGAATGTGGGCTGTTGCCCCCAGTCACCATGGCTGGTCATACTACCACACTGACTCTTGAGACAGGGAGGTTCCTGCCTCCACCCCTATCCTGCCTCCCCATTTCTGAGGAAAATGGAAGCCAACAGAACTCTCAGGAAGAGCTATGGGTCAGAAGTGACATTGATGTCACTTCCCCCACACATGCTATTGCCTTCCCCAGCAGTATCCAATATGGTTGTCGGACGGGAAGTCATCCCGAGGGCTCCCTGGTTCAAACATCACCCCAGGGCTCTGGCAGCATCTAGATTCCACATTTCAAATAGAGCAAGAGTCTGGGGAGAATGATGGTGAAGTGCCTGAGGGGCTGAGTTTGACCCTCAGCGCCTACAATGTAAAGAAACAACAACCAGCTGCTGGGTGCTGGGATGTACACCTGTAACACCAGTTCTGGGGAGGCAGAGCAGGGGGATCCCTGAGGCTCACTGGCCATCAAGACTAGCCGTATCAGTGGGACAGGCTCAGAGACCCTGTCTCAAAAACAGAAGTGAGGAGCAATGGAGGAAGACACTGGATATTAACCCCAGCCTCCACACAGGCACACACAGGTGCACGCATACACACATGCAAAAAATAAATAAAAATAATAAAAGAGAGGAAAGAGCGCTCTCCCACCTCTAAGACAGTGAGGCCTGCAAAACCTTCTGTGTGCATGATCACTACAGCAGGCTGCAACAGAGAAAAACTGCAGCCCGCCTTCGGAGGCAGCCGCAAGGAAGTCAGACATGCTCAGGTATGACCCTTCCTCCATGAAGCATGCCCAGACAAGGGTGCATGCTCCTGGCACTAGATTACAAAGATAACAGCCCTCACCCCAGTCACCTTTACATACAGGAAGAAGGCCTGGTTTTTTCCTCTGCACTGTGGGCTCTTTCAGGGCAGAACAAGAGCTCACAGCTGAGGTTAAGGTGCCTGACTCTAATGCCAGGCAGGGATGCTGGCTTGCACCCGTAATCCCAGCTCTCAAGAGGCTGAGACAGAAGGACAGCCAAGAGTTCAAGGTCAGCCTGTACTACACAGCAGGACCCAGCTTCAAAACAACCTTACTAATACTAACAGCAATAATAAATGAATAAAAATGGCAAAGGGGCTGGAGAGATGGCTCAGTGGTTAAGAGCGCTTGCTGCTCTTCCAGAGGACCCAGGTTTGATTCCCAGCACCCACATTGCAGATCACAACAACCAATAACTCCAGTTCTATAGGATATCCAATGGTCTCTTCCGATGTCCACATCCCCAAACACTGCACACACATGGTGCACGTAACATACATCCAGGCACACAAATACACATTAAATAATTTTTAAAAGATATATAGAACAAGCCAAACCAATCCTAATAAATACAGCTCAAGATCAAGTATACATTTCTAATGAAATATTATGTAACCATTAAGACGACACATGAGGAATATGTAAACACGGGGAACGTTAATGTCAAAATCACAAGTTTAAAAAAGAGGAAATTCTGTGTACAGCACACACAGAGAAAGCACAGGTGGGAAATAAATTGTGTTCTTTAGACTCAGGGAAGACTCTGGGCAATTTTATCTTCCTTGTCCCCTTGTGAATGTTTCTCAGTCCACTTTCTGTTAGTTCATATTGTAAGGTATCATTGGTCCTGTGTCCCTGAGCTCTACATCTGCAGACTCAACCTGCAGTTTGAAACTATCTGGGGGGAGAGGGGGAACCAGCCTGTGCCTATACAGGCTGTGCACGGACTCTCTTCTCATTATCCCTATACAATACAGCATGCCAGCCTGTCACACAGCACTTAACACAAATAGCTGTGATAAGATGCCATGACCAAAACAAATAGAAGAAAGAGTTTAATTTGGGGCTACAGTTCCCAAGGTTTAGAGTTCACGACTATCACGATGGGAGCAGTGCTGAGGGCTCTCATCTCAATCCACAAGCACAAGGCAGAGAAAATTATCCAGGAGTGGTATGGGCTTTTGAAACCTCAAAGCCCATGCCTCTAACAAGGCCACACCTCCTAACCCTTCCCAGACAGTTTCACCAACTGGGGATCAAGCATTCAAACATCTGAGTCTATGGAGGCTGTTCTTATTCAAACCACTACAATGTGGCATCCGATATCACCCCGAGAAGAGTGATAGCACCAAGAGGATGTGGGGGGTAGTGGGGCCATATGCAAATGCAACACCATTCTGTGCAAGGCCCTTAAGCACCAACTGATTTTGGCATCCAGAAGGTTCTAGAATCAATCCCAGAGTATACTAAGGAACAACTGTATGCATTAACTCAGTTCAAATGTCTGGCTGGTCCTGATGTGGTCCCTTCAGCCTGTAGGGAGGCTGAAGCAGAAGGATTGCAAGTCAAGGCTATCCTGGGCTAACAATGAGTTCAAGGCCAGCCTGGGCAACTTAAATGAGGCCTTGTCTCAAAACAGAAAAGTAAAACAGAAAGGTAGGACTAGAGCTCAGGGGTAGAGTGCATGCCTACCTAGGTCCTGGGTTTGATCCCAATAGTGGGGGGAGGGGGGGAAGTAAATGTCCATATATTATTGAAATCTCAAACGGCTAGATCCCCTGGCTATAGGACTAGAACAGACACAAAGACATAAAAGTGACTGCTATTTCCCTCAGTGGGCTTCCCCACGACTGAGGTGACAGAGACTCAGGGAGTATCCCTGTACCACCATTCACACCACGACAGCAACCCAAACCTACCTCTCCTGGAACTGCTTGGAAGGGATGAGGCCAGCTCGAAGGTTAGTGTCTCCCACTCTCTTGGCCTGCCACCAGGTGGGGTCATCTTGGCTCACCACCTCCAGGACCTGCCTCCGCTGGAAGGGCAAGCCTGCCTCCTGGCAGGGGATGGCACGGTCCTCCCGAGGGTCATAGTGGAAGAGGGCACGCATGAACACCTGTATGGCAAGGGCTGCAGTGAGGAGGCCCTTCTATATAAGGGCACAGGCCACATATCGACAATGGCCACTCATAGCTAGAAAACACAAGTGGCCTCGAGAGTAGAAAGCTAGTCAGAAACGCCCTGTATTTGTTTCTTGGTGTTCTTCATCCATTTTGGACACGAGTCAAGAAATCCATAAGTACTTGGAAAATGAGTGGCTAGGGAATGGCTCGGTGGTACAGTGTGCTTGTCTAGCATAAATGAAACACTGCTTCCATCCCCAGCAATACCAACACCAAAACCAAACAAAGAGAGTCAGAAAACAGGGGTCCAGTGGGTAAAGGCACTTCATATGCAAGCCGGACAACCTGAGTTTGATCCCCCAGTTTCCTCCATTGGAGAAAACTAACCTCTACAAGGTGTCCTTTGGCCTCCATGTATACCCTGTGGCACACACACACACACAATTAAAATGAAACTATAAAAAAAGGAAATAGACAAGGCCCACAGCCACACTAAGTAACTAACCCTGGAGACAAAAGCAAACACACAAACACATGCACAATTTGTAACCATTGCTACTTTTACTACCATCTATGCAAGGACCCTAGAGGTCCTCAGAGGAAGGAGTACAAATGTCAACAAAACTTATGTGGTGGACTTTGCCCTCACTTCCCAAGTCTGTAACTGGCACCCACAGTTTCGACAGCACCACCTTGCCCTATCTGCCATATACTTGGCCAAGTCTCCTCTCTGGGGAAGGTGGGACAGGACACAGAACTAACTCCCACCTCTTGGCTCTCTTCTCACCCAGTGCTATGAATTTATCTCAAGTTCTCTAGTTCTAGACTATGTAGGCCCCATTATTCCAGTGGCAAACAGAAAATATAGAGATCAAGATTCATCTTCAGATGTACCTGAGATTCCCTCATGTGGCAAAAACAAAAAAAGATTAAGGTAGACAGCAAGAAGAACTTTCTGGGTCTCTGAGGTAGGGACAGACACCCTCATGCAAATACAGACCCTATGGTGCAGTGAGTGGCTGTCCAGGTGGAGCAGTGGGTCACAAAGAAAGATTTAAGAGAACAGGACTAAGGAACAGGGTACCAGATTATTTTCCTGTATCAAGCCCACACACAGGATGCTACGGTCCCACACAGGAGTCAGTATCATTTATTATGCTCTGGGATTTAATCTAAGGGTGGTAGGAAGAAAATGCCATGGAAAGGTTGTTCCTTCACTGGTTACAAAACAAGAGGTCAGTGAAGACGCCAGCTGTTCCTAATCATCTATCCCTCATCAATGAAGCCTGGACACCTCTTCTGGGCCCGAGGCTGTTCTGGGCTTTCTTTCATGTGTTCAGCACAGGGTGGCAAGGCTGAGGCTGGCCCGCTTCCTTCCACCCTCAGATGAAAACTCATTCTGTTCCCCTTCTGTCTCACATCCAAGAACTTCAAGTCCACGTTCATTATGGAATCATCAAATAGATACCCTCTTTGATAGCCTTTGCCGTTCTCAATAGTCTCCCACCTGGGCTTCCAAATAGCCTCATTCTGCGCCTCCCTGCCTCTAGCTCCACCCACTCCCTGACCCTGTGGGGACCGCATATCAGATATTTACATTACAATTCATAACAGTAGCAAAATTAAGTTATGAAGTAACAACAAAATAACTTTATGGTTGGGGGTCACCACAACATGAGGAACTGTGTTAAAGGGTCACTGCAGTAGGAAGGTTGAAAATCACAGCCCAGAGAGCTTGGGCTGCCCAGAGAGCTTTCTAAAACATCCCTGTGGTCAGAACGCCCTTAACCTCTCATCAAGGCTGGCGAGCTGGCTCAGCAGGTAAAGGTACTTGCTGCCCAACCTGATGACCTGAGTTCAAACCCCAAAACCCACACTGTAAAAGGAGCACACTGACCCCTGCAAGCTCTCATCTGATTTCCATGTGTGTGCTATGATGAATTCGCCCCCCCCCCACACACACACCCAATAAATAGGCCTTCTTAGCACGATTCAGCTGTCTCGTGGGCTCTGGGCTGTTCTCCATCCCCAGGGTTGTACCACGTTAGTGCATGCCGGCTGACTTCAGGGTGCACCTGCACCCCTTTGCCTCAGGACTTATTTCCTGTGGCTGCTAGTTTGCTTGTCTCTAATCTAGCAGTCAGGACTACAAAGAACAAAGCCCCAGGGCCTGGTGGGAGTTATGTACACATCTCCCCAGCCCTTGGCTGAGAAGAACAACATGCATGTTCTGATCCCAAAAGCCCTTCAGGATTAAGCTTCAGGCACCCTCAGTGGGTGGTGACTTCTGGGTAGCTTGCTTACCAGTAGGGCTGCCTGCCCTTCCCCTCACCTCCCTACCCATGCAGCCTGGGGTCACTTCCCACCAAACAAGCTGTTTGCCTTTACACCCTTAAGCCAGGGTCAGCATATAGGAGCACCCAAACTAGGCAAGAATTGTGCCCGAGTCCTTCACAGCTGATCCCACATCCCCAGTAATGCCCCTCCCACCTGACCCTCAAGCCCTTTTTCCCAGATTCCCCCCAAGCATGCTCCCCCACCATGGGCCTCCAGGCACTTGTCTAACAGGTGCCTGGAACTGACCCTTCTCTCTGAAACTCTAGCCATCTTTACCTCCCTCCAATCCCTGCACCCAATCTGAAATGCCTTCTGGGATGTCTCTTGCGCTACACACTCTTCCAGAAACGCTTGCCACACAGCAGTGAACCACTCGTTCAGACAGCCTCCCCTTCTACAGCAAAAATCCCCTGGCAGAGAGCCCAGCAGAGAGGTCATGACCAAAAAGTAGGCCCAGTGAACAACCAAGCTAATGGCAGCTACTTCACTGGTCCAGAATCCAGTTCCTAAGCACCTTCTCTCCATGGCCCAGATTTTCCACTTCCATTACAGTAAGCTTGTCTTTTGTTAGCACACCACACAAAATCCTGTTTCCAAACAGCAGGGTACAATGAGTCACTTAGGACTATTAAAGTCCTTGGCTGGAGAGAGGTTACTGGGGCCAGATGCACAAGCTGGCAGGGTTCAGAAGGCCCACCCTTCCCCAGTAGAGCAAGCCCCAGGGAGCCCACCTTCCCGTACCTTGCTCTCTTTGAAGCGATCTTCCTCCTGGGTGGCAGGGATGATCTTGAGGGTGATGGATCCCTGAGACTGGGCCTAAAGGGAGAGGGAACACAGGCCAGTGGCTTTCGGGACCCTATGCTCGGTGAGTTCATCTCATTTCCTAGGTGGGAGTTCAGAATGAAAGGCAGACTGACAGCTTCCACTCCTCTGCCCTGGCAGAATTTGCTATTAAGAATCAAGTTACCTGCCTATGATGGCTGACATCGACTGCCAGGGCTAGAGCAAGTAAGGAAATGAATACATTGCCTTTCCATGGGACAGAGAGACTGGAGATTTTAATGAGAACTCAAGACAAGGCATGCAATGAACTCCAGCCCCCCAAAGCTCCAGACCTCAGGCGTCCCAAGACCCCTCCTTGATGTTCCTTAGACTATTTTAAATTTTTACTTATTTTTATGTATATGAGTGTTTGTCTGCATGGATGGGATATCTATATACCATTTGCATGTCTGGTCCTGTGGAGGCCAGAAGAGGGCATTAGATCCCCTGGCACTGGAGTTCTAGATGGTTGTGAGAAGCTATATGGTTGCTGGGAATCGAACCTGGGACCTCTGGAAGAGCATTGAGTGCCCTTAACTGTTGAGCCATCTCTCCAGCCTCTCTCGGGCTAGTTTAATAATCCACTTTAGTCAAATTATCCTAGGTCCTGACTGATTAGGACTTCCTTCCTTGGTCCCACTCCTCCACAGGGAGCCAATCTTAGGCCACTCCCCCTTTCTAGGAGGTTCCCTTTCCTTCAGAGACCTGAACCTCAGTCTCAGAGCCCAGGAGGAAGAGCAGGATTACCCCCCAGGTCATAGAAGTTCACTCTAAACTCAGGAGTTTGGTGTCCACACCAGGAGCCCATGATGCTCACATAAAGATCCAAGGGCCAGCTACACCTGTGTTGTTCCCACCCCGCAACACGGGGGTGGGGAAGGGGGAGGCGCTGAAGGGCTGTCTTGTCTCTTTAGCACTGATCTTGTTTGCCCCACCCCAACAACCTTTAGAAGTTAGCTAAGTCAGTGGAGGATACCCAAGGATGAGCCTGCCATAGCTGCAGAGGCACTCTCCACAATAGCCATTTTGCCTCATCTGTCCCGGAACAGACATTGTTTCCATCCCCCAAATCTTCTCATGCCTTTAATCCCAGCACTCGGGAGGCAGAGGCAGGCAGATCTCTCTGAGTTCGAGGCCAGCCTGGTCTCCAGAGCGAGTGCCAGGATAGGCTCCAAAGCTACACAGAGAAACCCTGTCTCGGAAAAAAAAAAAAAAAAAAACTTTATAAGTACTTTACACCCTTCTTCCATGCTAATAATAACCAGGCACAAGTTGAAAAACCCTTTTCTGTCGCTCTGTTAGTGCAAAGGCGATTAAAGTCAGTTAGACTAGGATAAACCTGAGATTTGGAAGGTTCTCAGACTGAGGAGCTGGGGTGAAGAGGAAGGCTACACTGAAGAGAAGAGCTGAGAGAGAGGCACTGGGAGAGGTGAACTGGAAACGATTGTGTCTGCCCCACCCTCACACAAACAGGGAAGCAGAGACAGGGAAGCTGAAGACCCCCTCTCTGCAGGCATGCCACACAGACCAGAATCTGGCTGATCTCGTCTGGACGCTTGTGCAGGACAGTGATTCCGTTCACTTCTCGGAGTTCATCGCCAACGTGGACCAGACCTAGGAGACACAGGGATGGAGGTTAGCTCAGCACTAAAAATGGAGGCCCTGATGCTGGGCTTTGTGCCTCTGGGCACTAGGAAAACCACTACAGGGCAGATTCAGGTCTAAAGATACTCAGCATCAAATTCAAACCATCCTCTGGGAAGGTCCCCGTGTGTAAGGTACATTTGAGAGTGAGGCACATACAACAGCCCTGACAAAGCCACATTGCTAAGAAGTAGCAGAGCTAGAATGCAGGCATGCACAGGCACTTCAGTATAGAAAGCTGCATAGATAGTAGCGGCACACGCCTTTAATCCCACCATCCAAAAGGCAGAGGCAGAGGCAGGTGGATCTGAGTTTGAGGCCAGCCTGTTCTACAGAATGAGTTCCAGGACAGCCAAGGCTACACAGAGAAACCCTGTCTCAAAAAACCAAAACAGAGAGAGACAGAGACAGGGGGAGGGAGAGAGAGAGAGACAAAGAGAGAGAGAGAGAGAGAGAGAGAGAGAGAGAGAGAGCTGCTTTCTGCTGACAAAGAGAGTGTTTAGGTATACAGGTGTGTGGATACTTGTATACACACGCATGTAGAGTCCAAAGGACATTGTTATCTCCCATCAGGCACCACCCACCTTGTTCTTTAAGACAGGGGCTTTCATTGGGACCCAGGATCACCAATTCAGTGCTTTCCAAGTACTGTGATTATAAGAGCACATGGCCACATTCAGGTTTGTACATGGGTGCTGGGAACCAAACCAAGCACTTTACCAATGGAGAGATCTCCCCATTCGCCATCTCTGCTTTCTTAAAAGTATCATTAACTCTTTATCTTCCTGAACTGCAGACACACTCCCAGAATATCTTTCTTAAGTCTTCATGAGGAAGCTTAAAGGCACCAGTACTTATCTATGATGTTTGTACCTACCTACCCAACAATCATCTGTCTGTGCATCTGTTTATCTATGTATCTAACTACCCATCTGCTTATGAATCTCTGTATCTACCTATCATCTGTCTATCTATGTAACTGTGTATCTATCTATGTAACTGTATATCTAGCTATCTGTGCATCTATCCATGTATCTGTCTATGTATCTGTCTTGAGACCCAGGTAATCTGTAGAAGAGAATTGAATTTCTGACCTTCCTAGCTCCATCTACTGCGTGCTGGAATTAAGGGTGTTTTATGCACTGCTGCAGAAGGCTTCATGAATATTCTGGACAAGCCAGTTATTACCAACTAAGCTGTTCACTTAACCTAGCTTTATTTATTTACTTATTTACTTCGACAGGTTTTTGTTATGTAGCCCAGGCTGGTCTTGATCTCTTGTATACAAGGAATCGTCCCTTCTGAACCTCCCAAGCTGCTGAGACTATAGGCCCAAGTGCCACCACACGCAGCCCGTAGCCACTACTATAACGACAATTGTCCTGACATAATTTGGCCTCTCTTTGTTGCTCTGAGCAGGCACTGGGCCAGCAGCCGCCGTCGCCACCATTAGGAGTACAGATTTCTGAGTCAGAGCCTATATGTTACCAATATGCTCAGGGGCCTGTGTTTGGAAGTAAGGCCTAGAACTCTCCAGTCAGTTTTTCAGACCTAGAAGGTAACATCCCCTACAATGAGAGGCCTGCTTACCAGATTTCCCATGCACTGATGACTGTCAACCTGTTTTCTACCCAAACTAATCTGGGTCATGAACACACTCTTGTCCACTGCAGTTTCACAAGGTGATGGGGCTACTGGAAGTGGCAAGGACCATCCCCACCCCAGCCAGGAATCCCCAACCAAGCCCATCTCCAAACTCAAGTGTTATAATCTCTGCCTACACCAAATGCCAGAGCCCTTTCCTGACCACCCATGAGAACTCCAAGCCTATTAGGCTTCAATTAAATTCCCATTAACCTTGGGACCTTGAGAATTCCATCCACAATCCCCACAGCGAAGCAAACCCCACAGAGGCTACCCTAGGGTGGGGATAGAGAGCCAGCATCTCACCCAGGCTGGCATCTCACCACTCTACAGGCTTCACTCACCACTCCGATCCGCCGCACCCCCTCGCATGATCCTGGCCACCACGACAGCCCCTGAGTGCTCATCTCTTCGGATAGTGGCACCCTGAATGAGAGACATGAACAGACAGGCTCTAGCAAGGCAACCTCAACTGACACTGTTCCCTTCATTCTTCCCTCTGCCACCCTGGGAAGGTGGATCAGTGGGAACCTTCCCAAGGCTGAGAACACCATAAGACAGGAAATGAGGAAAGCGCCATGCTTTGCAGCTTACAAAGCACAATGATCCATTCTGCACAAGGGACTAGGCCTCCTGAGTTGGGCGTGGTTGGCACATGCCTGCGATCCAAGCGCTCAGGAGGTACAGAGTGGAAAATTAAGAGTTCAAGGTCATCCTCAGCTACCCAATGAGTCTGAAGCCAGCCTGAGCTTTTTTGAGACTCTGTCTCAAAAAGAATAATTAAATAGAGCCAGTGAGATGGCCCAGCTGATAAAGGTATCTCCAACCATGCCTGACTTCAATCCCCAGGGCCCACATAGAGAACCAACTCCTACAAGTTGTCCTCTGGTCTCTAGATTTGTACTGTGGCACCCACATACACAAATGCACAAAACAAATAAATGCGATTTAAAATGTCATATAAATAAACAAGATACAAAGGAAGGGGTATCAGGGACTCTAAGACTCCTCAACGTCACCCTCATAGAAGGGGGAGCTTTTGATTACGCCAACCCAGTGTTTTCTCTGTCTCATCACAGCCCTTGTCACTAGCAAAGACATTTAATAATGAGGACAACATGTGCTAGCAAATTCTCAACCTGCCTCGAGCCAACCCCAGTGTTCCTGGGCCTTCTGTTGTTGCCAACAGGAAGCAATTATGCCCCCACCAGAGCATCAGGACCAGGATTTGGCCCATGAAACACAAAGAGATGAATTCTGGGATAAAAAAAGGCACTAATGAGCTCCTAATTTCCTGTACCAGGTAAGAGGCCCATGTCAGCACAGTGATGGGGTTGGGGGGGGGGGCGGGCTGCAGGGAGCCAAGCCTGGACAGCCAGTTCAACCATTGACTAGAAATCGTGTGGCCTCAGCCAGGAGGTCCCTGTGTTCTCTGAGCCTGCCTCCTCTAGGGTGAGGGGGAGCATTTAACTCAAAGGGTTGTTGCAAGGGTCCCATACGGAAACTTCATGTGACGGGTAAACAGTAAGCATCCAACGTCCATAGTCAGTAATAAACGCCCATCAGTTGTCACTGACCAGCCACGAACACGCTGCACATTTCCCATTAATGTCCATGTCATCGTGAGAAGCAGAGAAAACAGATTCTGCTGACTGCAGAGGCTGTCCACTACACCTCCCGAGGCCCACTGTTCCCTGACCTGCCAAGTCCCCATCACATATCCCTCTCCGAACCACCTCCACCCCCAGCACTGAGAGCACACAGGAGGGAACCCGGGATTTGTGCCAACTCTGTGGCACAGGTGAGGAAGCAGAAGCAACGGGGACATCTTCATCTGTTGGGAGACACGGCTCACCCATCACAGGTCAGCTGGGGAGAGCTGGAACCAGATAATGCCAGCTCTGCAGTTCTCTGAGGCAAGCACTAAGCTCTCTGGGCACCCACCACTTCCTTCCATCTGATGAACAAACTCGCCTCTTTGCCCAGTCCATCACTGCTGGAAGCAGGGGCAAAAACAGTGCTTATCTGTCAGCCTCCAGGAGAGTGTGGCTGCACCCACCCTGCCTGGGCATTCAGAGATGGGTCAGCAAACTGTCTATAAAGGACGGAGTATATGTATCTAAGGCTTTGAGGGGAGGCTCAGGTCTCCGCTGTCATTACTCAACTTCTCATGACAAATGAGTAAGCATGACCTTGGTTTTTGTTATTGTTGTTGTTTTGGTGGGTTTTGTTTGTTTGTTTGTTTTGGTTTTTGGTTTTTCAAGACCAGGCTGGTCTCCAACTCACAGAGATCCACCTGCCTCTATCTTGCCTTTAAAACGACAACAAAATTAAGCTGTAGGCTACATTTGACCCTTGGCCCGAGTCTCTTAACTTCCATTTCTGAGCATGGTGACCAATGTCACCCTACACAGCCGTGCAGGTTGCATACTGCACACGATGGCTTAGCTGAAATTAAGAGGAGCAGCATCCACTCGGGAAAAGGAGTGTGCTGCACACAGAGGTGTTACAGAGAAGAGCAGTCATCCTGGCAAAGTGGCTGTCATTCACTGTGAATTCAGGAGGGTGCCTTCCTGGTTTTCTGGGTTGGGTGTGAGATACAGAAGAATACCTGGGGAGAAGCCCGTACATACCAACGGTTCCTTATTCTTCACCAAGCGAACAATCTTCACTGATTCCTCCTCAAAATCCTCATCGATATTATCAGGCAGAGGGGGCAGAACAGGATCAAAGTTCTTCTGGGCAACTGTGTCGTGGACCATGAGCACAGCCTGCAAAAAAACCAGGGGAAAGGGCTAGCACTATACCCTCACAGGGTTAGGGGGTCCTTGGCTGGGCAGGGGCAGAAAGGAGCTCAGATCCTTTGCCTAAGAAAAGCCGCCCTCCTCAGGGCATTGCTTAGGATCCTTCACACAGAAGCCTCCTCCTCCATCTCAGGACCCAGACTCCCTCCACCTCCATCCCAGGAGACCCGCTGCGTGGGTGTGCAGGGACTGCAGCGTGACTACCCTGAGGTGGGGGGTGGACAGCAGCTGCAGCAGCTCCCTCTCGTCACTGTGCACAGAGGCGGCCTGCAGCTCCTCCATCACCTGTAAGAGAAGGAGATAGGAGGCTGGGGTGCCCCTGCGACAGCCTGCTGGAATCCCCCAGGAAAAGCCTTCTTCCCTGGGCCTCAGACACAAGGTTCCTCTCAGGGATAATGGCTTCATCACCCAGAAACATGTCGTATCTGTCACTCAGGAACTGGTGGAGGATCTGGGGAAATCAAACCAGGTACCAGAAGTACACACGTGCAGAGGGTAAACCTACTATAGACTGTTACTCTATATGGGTCTTCCCAACAAACCAGACACCATGAGCACTTTAATTTTGCTATGTAAGGATGAGAATCTTGAGGCCGAGAGATTACAAACCTTGCCAAGGATCACAAAGCTCACAGTGGCATAGCCAGGATTTAAACCCAGCCTCATCCAGCCAGACAGTCTGTGCCCTTGTCACTAGGCTATGCCATGGGCAAGGACACTGGGGCTGGGAGATTGGGTGACTTGTTTAAGGACACACAGCTAGTGGCAAAGTTGGCAATGCAGAGCCGGGGGGGGGGGGGGGGGGGGAACCCACTCCAAATGATCATACTGTAGAGGAGCCAGGTACAGTGTATGTCACAGACTATGCCATCCCCCACATGGCCATCTTCTAGGAAACAGCCCAGCTAACTAGTTGGTGACCGATATAGAAGTCAGCCTATGTCAACAACCCAGACAGCTAAACCAAAAACCACAAGAACGAAGGTCCCTGAGTAGTCAAGATGCCAGAGCTCGTCAGCAGGGATACACCGTAAGTCCCTTGAATTCAAGACTACATGGCAGCCTCTCAGAGCCCAGACACAGGCACTATCTGACCTACTAATATCACCAGGAACAGGTGGGGAGCTACTGATAGGATCCAAGGTTCCCATTTTACAGCTGAGGGAACAGGTTTGCTCCAGAACACACGGTCAGCAGGAATCCTCATGTCTCCTGGTCCCAGCCAAGGCTAACAAGGCCCTCCTTGCCAGAAAGCTCAGGGAAGACTAAAGCTACAGCTCAGCCATACAACACTTGACATGTACAAGGCTCTGGGTTTGATCCCTGGCATCACACACACACACACACACACACACACACACACACACACACACACACACACACGCACACACACGAGGAGGATGAGAAGGAGGAAAAGGAAGCTACCTCTCCCTTTCCATCCTCAGGGTCCCCACCTCTGATGTCCCCAGCTAATCAGTAGTTACAAGGTCAGTAAGAACATTTCCTGGGCCTGGAGTAAGTAGTGCGCCACCTTAAATCAAAACATTAAAGTCTGGGACTTACATCCTCAGCAAGGGCCATGGCACTGTGCAGGACCGGGGTCGGGCTCTGTCTCTCATAATAGCGGAGTTTCTCGTGAATCTGCAAAGATACTTGATTTCTGCTTTACCTTGAATACCATACATGACACCTAGGGTTGTGGTGACACCTAGGGCCACAAGTGGGGTCCCCTCCATAGCAGTGTGCATGGAAAGCCCTGCCTAGTGAGTTAAAAACCTTCATGGGGGCAGGGAAGTGGCTGGGATGACACAGGGAAGAGCCTCCCTTGGGGATGGGAGGGGAGCTGAGGGGGCTCTCACCTTCATCAAGTAGCTGAGGCTCTTCTCACTGAAGACATCCCTCAAGAAGCCCATCTCCTCCCTATGGTTGGAATCAGGCCTGAGCTGAGAGGTCAGAAGTGCCAGGGTCTCATGCAAACCTGAGGAAGAGGCAAGAAAAAACAAGGTCCAGAAACAGTGGGACTTCCTGCCCTTGAGAACTCTCTCAGACAACACCTCCCATCCTGCCTGACAGCACTCTCCCCACAGTCTCAGGTCTGCCGGTAGCTTTCAGAGGCAACACCACAGCACTGCTCCTGTTTTGTCTTGTTTTGTCTTGTTTCCCCCAACCCTGGGAGCCTGGCAGGTGCAGCTCAGGTGGAGGACACTCACCCGAGTCTTCGGACAGCACTGGCATGCCTGTGCCTAGCAGGTCCCCAGCTGGCCCTGCAGTTTGTGGGGTGAGAAAGGAGCCACTCAGCAATGAACACACATCACCTGGACCTGCTTATGACCTATGTGAGGACAAAAGAAATAAGAAAACGGTCACTTTTCTCGGGGGTGGGTGGGCAGAGAACAAGACTTGTTGGGTGCCCTCAATATGCCAAACATTATGATATTTTCGGACTATACATGAAACCTAGAAGATGGCCATCAATGCTTCCCATTTTACGGATGAAGAAACAGAGGCTGGGGGCCCCTAAGGAACTTTTGGACCAGAATAGGAACTCAGATTCCTTCTTCCAGGCTGACCTTGGCAGTGCCAAGAGTCCTTGCCTCATGCAGGGTGCTCTTGCCCATGGCTCTGCCCTATAGCTACCTTCTAAGAGTGTTTGCTCAAGTCCCCTGCTGCAACATCCCTTCAATAAGTACCTGGTTAAGGCCTACAAGAACCCCCATTCCCCAACCCACCTCCAGCCCCCAATCCAAAGGGAGCCGCCAGTCTGACGGCAGGGGGGAGACGAAGAAGTGACAGTGGAGTTTCTGCTATGCCGGAAGCAAGTACCCTATCTCAAGAGACCCACTCCCCAGGTGCTCTGCAGCACGTGGACCTCAAAAAAGTCCTCCTTCGGAGAGGGACAAGGACTCTTGATTCATTCATTCGGCAGACGTGGAACCAGCACGCTGCGCCGAGCACCAGTCACACCGAAAGCCAGAAGAATGGTACCCCCCCCCGGGCCCCGGCCCCCGCC